ATAATCTCCAAGTCTTTGTTTCATTCCCAAAGTTCCTTTTGTTCCTGATTTCTAGCTTTATTCCACTATGCGCAAGGAAGATACATGCTACTCTCTTTTGCTTTTGTCCTCTTATTTTTTAGTTATTTATTAATTTATTTTGACTTCTTAAGACTTGTTTGGGGTCAGTCTTTCCTGGAGAATATTCCACTGGTTTGAAGACAAATGTGCACTCTGCCTCTGGTGGATGAAATGTTATGCAATGTCATTGTACATATCAAGAGTTCACTCCAACCTGGCACAGTGGCTCACACCTGCAATCCCAGCCACTTGAGAAGATGAGGCAGGAGGATGGCAAATTCAAAATCAGCCTTAGCAATTTAGCAACACCCCAGCAACTTAGTGAAACCCTGTCTCAAAATAAAAAGTGCTGGAGATGTGCTCTGATGAATTCAATTCCAAGGAGGAGGAGGAGGAGGACGAGGAGGAGGAGGAGAAAAAGAGCTCACTCTCATTATTTGATATTATTCTATAATTATAGAGGCAAAAATCTGATTAGCATTCCCAAGCTTACAGTTAAAACAATGTTGCTATATCTATATTTTTGTCTATGAGTTAAAAAAAAAGAAAGTAAAAATGCACTAAACACACACACACAAAAAAAGAATGAATGTGATTTTGGGGCTGGGGTGGTGGCTCAGTGGTAGAGCACTTGCCTAGCATGTGTGAGGCCCTGGGTTCGATCCTTAGCACCACACACAAATAAATAAATAAAAATAAAGATATTGTGCCAACTATAACTAATATATATATATTTTTTAAAATGAAGTTTCTAATTAATAATGTTGTATGTTACACATTTAAAATATTTCTATAAAAAAGAGCAGATGGGACCATGCTGTGGTAGCAAACAAGCTGAACTGTCAATTAGTTAGACTATTAAGGGGTTTTTATTGCATATATGTATTTATCACACATATAATCATAAATATTTATGCAGTTATATTTATCCACAACCAGTGCTTTTAAAAACATTCTCAGATAGGAAATTCATCAAGCATAAACACTTAGTTTTCATGGTTTGTATGCCCAGAAATGGATATGCTGAATCATAAGGTATACATTATTCAACACTAGTTGTCATCCCACATATTGAAACTTTTCATAAAATGTAGTTTTGGCAAATAGAATAATGATGCATATCAAAAGCAGATTTATGAATGAACCAGTTAAAAAAACATAAGTATGGCATATGAGTGAATATAGATGTATACCCACATGTAAAGCAGTTTATACATCTAGAAAAAAAAATGTAATATTATAATTGGTATTGCAGAGAAGTGGAGAAAGGATGCATTATTAAAAATTAAACTGAAATACTTTATTATTAAAAGGAGAAAATATTTAAATGAATTTCTACCTCATACTACATTAAAAATTAACAACTCCACATAAAACCACAATGAGAATTTTATCTCACTCTAGTCAGAATGGCAATTATCAAGAATATAAGTAACAATAACCAGATGAATGAGAAGTTATATTCCATTATGTATGATGTGTCAAAATGTATTTTACTATCATGTATAACTAATTATAATAAACAAAAAAACAAAAACAAAAAATATGGCAAAGATGTAGGTAAAAGCATACACTCACACATTGTTGGTGGAACTGCAAATTGGTGAAACTACTCTGGAAAAATGTATGAAGATTCCTCAAAAAACGTGTAATGGAACCACCATTTTACCTAGAAATCCCACTCCTCAGTCCAAAGGAGTTAAAATCAGCATACTACAGTGATGCAGCCACATCAATGTTTATAGCAGCTCAATTCACAGTAGCTAAGCTATGGAACCAAACTAAGTGCCCTACAACAGATGAATGGATAAAGAAACTGTGGTATATATACACAAGGAAATATGACTCAGGCATAAAAAAAAGAATGACTTTATAACTTTTGCCTGTACATGGATGGATCTGGAGACTATCATGCTAAGTGAAGTAAGCCAGTCCCGGGAAATCAAAGCCTGAATGTTTTCTCTGATATGTGGATGCTTACACACAGCAAGGTGGGGTGCAATAGAAGGTCAGTGGATTAGACAAAGGGGAATAAATGGAAGGGAGGGGGATAGGAATGGGAAAGACAATGGAATGAATCTGACATAACTTTCCTACACACATATATGAATACACCACAGTGAATCTCAACATTATGTACATCCCCAAAACTAAAATCCTATTTTAAATAAAATATAATCCATGTTTGTATAATATGTCAAAATATATTCTACTGTCACATATAACTAAAAATAACAGGTGAAATTTTTAAAAAACCTACGGTGTAATATCATTATGTACATAGGGCAAAGGATTACTTTATTTTTCAAAATTTAGATATATTTTGTTAAAACTTAGTGTAAAGTATAAGATTCACTAGTGAATTCCAGAAGAAAATTCTATTAGGAAAGGGGAGTTTTCACATGCTGTAATAACTGGGTCTTGTTGATCGTTATCATATCAGGTACCATCAGGTGTTTTGCTGTTGTGACTCCTGATGACACCTATCTTGGATTCCAAACACAGTATTAATTAGGTCAGGTGGGTGTGTTACACTCACAGGACTCAAACCCGGTGCCTCACGCCTTCTAGGCAAGTGCTTTACCAATAAGCTAAAACTCCAGCCTTGCATTTTCTAGGATATTAGAAATTGTTAGAAATCATATGCTTTATGTTTCTTTTCAGAATGGCTTCTCAGTGCAACTATTCTGTACAAGAGTTTAGTGTGTACAATTTACAGAATCACTTTGATACACACACTGGATGCACACATAAGAATGTATGTAATAGCATTTTTCAAAATAGCCAATGTTGTAAATGAAAAAAAAATCATTAAAACAGTACAGGTGATCTAATTAGACTAAGTTATACTCCATGTACGTAGAATATGTCAAAATACACGCTGCTGTTATGTATACCTAAAAAGAACAAATGTACAAAATAAAGCAGTATAGAGTGGAAGATGAAAACATATAGATGAATTTCACATGGACAACAGAAAACAACATAGGCAAAATGTCAGAGAATAAATATGCAGTTCTAAATCAGGCAAAATTTATGGATCACTGCAGAAGTATTAAAACTCTAAAGAAACCCAAGCATATACTGAAAAGAGTGAAAATACTGGCTACCCTCAAGAAGAAAGAAAATATCATTGATGAAGGATTACTGAAGGAGCTTCAACAGTATTTAGTTTTTTTTATTTAAACTTACAGCTTTTAAAATGAATATTTCTATAAATTATTTACAATGTTATGTCACATATCAAGACCCATGCACATTTTTATGTAAAATAAATTATGTATGCATTTATATATTTAAACTGAATATTTTCATCTGTTATATCAATGTTTTATAAATATTAAAGTAAAATTTCCAGTAAAATATCACTCAAGTTAAAAATATTCAAGTGTCTTATGTCTCAGGATTTGATTCACACATATAGTACTAATACAATTAATCTAAATAGAAGTGGCTTAATAATGCTTGGATAGTTACTAAATGTCCCTGAAATATGAATTCCCTCCTTTATATCAAATACTAGAGTTAAAGGAATATGGAAACATCTCTCACAGTTACCAACTTACAGCAATGAAGCTAATTACATTGGCCTTTAGCAGAAGCAGTTTCTTAAGGGCTAAAGACAAACTATTTCAGATGGAAACACAAAACACTAGATTTTTGAGTTGGTCAAGAAAGTATCTTTCTTCATTTTAAAATAAAATATGAGTAGATTAAATTGTGCTGAATTTCTACTTGAACTCAGTTCAGGTGGCCTGACTTCCCGACACCCTGCTTAGCCATTCTCTCCAACCCATCCCAAAGAGGTTGAACACCCTTAATGGAAAAGACAAATTTCCCATAATCACAGCATCTCCTGGAAGGCCTTGTAATAATCTCCAGTCTCAATGCTTGCCTTACCCCCATGTGACCCTGCTAGAGCGTAGGCAGAGGAATGATCAAGTTCACCACTGTTCACCACTTTGGTCTTGTACCATTCGATCTGGACCATTGTGCTGACAGAAAACTGTCTCATTTCAATCTGTAACAAGGACCACACTCTTTGAGAAAAAAAAATATCATGGGCCTAGATATAGTCACTCTAATAACAAAATTAAAAATAATTTGGGCAATGGTTGAGAAAATACAAGCAGCTGGGGAGAACAAAGGAAAGGAGAAATGAGGAAGGTTTGGTCAATAGCTACTTCATTGATACATTGGAAGAATAACCTGGACTGATGGATTGCACAGGTTGACTAGAGTTAATGATAATATTGTATATACTTCCAGAAAGCTAGAACATAGACTTTTAAATATTTGACCACAAAGAATATGAAAAGTGTTCAAGGAAAGAAATGTGCTTACCATCATTTGGATAATACACAATGTACACATGTATCAAGCACCTATGGCATACCATGAATACATACCAAAATTTTATGTGTAAATTTAAAAAGTGAATAAGAAATTATAAACAAAGATTTAACTACATTTCTCATTAAACTTACTAGCAAAAGTAAATTCCAAATGTAACACAAAATTAGACACAAAAATGAGACCATGAACCTACCAGAAAATATATTTATCATAAGAAAGGAAAAGGAAAAGCTTTGCTACAAAAGTCTATCAAAGCCTATAAACTGTCAAAAGGGAGAATAGACACAAAACCTGTGACCACATAAAAATTTTAAATGTTCCTAGGGAAAGAATACATTATGAACTGGAAAAAATTAGAGAAAAGTAGTAGTGCATGTATGTTTGCAAAAAATCCTTTCCCAAGATTTTGAAGATCTACAGACAATTAAAACAAGACAAAAACTACATCCAAAGTGAAACATGGTGGAATAAAGACTGCCACATCAAGATTTATAAAGAAACAGCAATTCCGAGTGGAAAGAATGTGTGTGAGGAATTTGGAAATGAAACATGTCATATTTAGTTAATAAGAAAGACAATTTCCATCATGCTACAAATGGTCCTCTCCTCAGGATGTTTCTGATAGCTCCTTTAATATCTTGATTCCTCAGACTGTAGATGAAAGGATTCAGCATGGGGGTGACCAGAGTGTACAACACAGACACAATGACATCCTTGTCATTAGTGGTATTGGATGAGGGGACAATATAGAGTCCAATAATGGCTCCATAGTACAGAGAAACCACAGAGAGGTGGGAGCCACATGTGGACAAGGCTTTGCAGATGCCCTTGATGGAGGGTCTTCTCAGGATGGTGGCCCCAATGTGGCCATAAGAGACCAAAATGCATATAAATGGCAGGGTAATGACCACTGTTCCTAGAGTGGGGATGACCAGCTCATTGACAGTGGTGTCTGAGCTGGACAGCTTAAGTAAGGCAGAGAGGTCACAGAAGAAGTGGTGGAGAGTGTTGTCTCCACAGAATGAAAGACGGGCTAGGAGGAGGGTGTGCACAAAGGCACTGGCAAAGGATAAAACCCAGGACACAATGACTAGCAGGAAAATGAGGCTGTCATTCATGATGGTGGTGTAGTGGAGTGGGTGACAGATGGCCACGTACCTGTCATAGGCCATGGAGGTCAGAAGGAAGCTGTCGAGACCCCCAAACAATAAGAAAAAAAAGTCCTGACAAATGCACCCAGCATAGGAGATGGATTGAGTGTGCGTCAGCATGTTCATGAGCATCTTTGGAGCCGTGACTGAGGAGAAAGAGATGTCAGTGAGGGCCAGGTGGCTGAGGAAGAAGTACATGGGGGTGTGCAGGCGAGAGTCCAGCCTGATGAGCAGGATGATGAGCAGGTTCCCCAGCACCGTG